GCTTCCAACACAACTCGCTGCCGGTTGAGATGAAGAAGATGGAGAAAGTGGTGGTGAAATTCCCACAATACCCTCACATTTAACATATGTTTGACGGCTGCCCAACCAAAGGACCAAATTGGTTAACATTTTTATAGTTGGAGGACTTAATTGGGTAACAAAAATAGTTTAGGACCAAATCGGTAATTTCACTACAGTCAAGGGACCATTTTGGTAATTAACTCATTTTAAAATTAATATATGCAAGTTTCGGACCTTTGACCTCCAAATTAAAATATAATAAATATACATTTCTACGATCTCTTCATGGAAACTTTTAAAATTATTTGAAAACTTGTAGCTTTTATTTCTAAACTAATTAGGTCAAAATTAAATATTGGGCCTCTAAAATTTAGGGCCTCTATAAAATTGGGGGCCCTGTGTGGTAGCCCAGCTTGCACAGCCTAAATTCCGACCTTGATATCGTGCACCAGGGCGCAGTGGCGCACAATGCATTGTGCGCCTTGACCTAAAACAACGATGTTTTTATAAGTTTGTGGGGAATTGACGCAACGGACACCCTTCTGTCTGTTCAATCCCGTTACAATTTTTTTTAACACTTCTATTTATGTATATTATGTTAAGAGTTGTATTATGTATTATGTTAGATTATGTGTATTCTATTACAATTCTATACATACGAAATAGAGAATTTTTTTTTTTTTTTTTAGAAATTAACTGCAGAAACGAAAAACAAATACAAAACGATATCATTTTCGGTCCGCATAATGCATTGTACGTCTTAGTGCACGATATAATTTGCCATGTTTAAACCAGTTGGCTGTTGCACGTTGCTCCCACCTACTCCCACGTTTACAAATGAAATATTAAATTGGTACAAAGTCCTTGAAGTGCGTGGCTCCATATATATTTATGTATATAAATCGGATTACGGTAACATGTTGTCAGAACGATATAATTCTCCTTCGGATTTACATGCCTTCAAACTTCAAACACTACTTAATAATATAGTTTGTGGGGATAACGCTAGCTCATCATAGATCCTATCAGATTTTTATTTGTTTATTTTTTACTTTACTCTTAAATTATACTTTAAAAGATTGTACATTCAATTTCTCAATTATTATTGTATTATTATCTATAGTCTATCTATTATTCTACTTAACATTTTGCGTTTAATAATGTTTGTTAATATCCTATTAAATTTTGATTAAAAAATAAAAACTTAAATAGAAGGGGTAAACGTAGAAATTTAATTTCATCTTTTTCACTTTATATGGGATAAACATTCCCCATTATTTCAATAAATAAAAAAAATTATATGAAATGGTTTTATGTATCTTTATTCGTGCAACAAGTTAATTCTTTTTATAAGTATTATACTTTCTTTCATAAGTATTACTCTTTCTATCTCATTTTACATATCATGTTTATTATTCATGGATCAAATCAACTCTTTCTTCATTTCTTATGTTCTTTAGTTTTAAATTATTTTTAAAGTTGATTTTTTTGTGTGTGTATAATAATACTTTTAATGTATTTTCTAAATATATACTAATACTAAATTTAATATTATGAAAAGTTGAATTAAAAATAACTTCAGTCAAGTCTTGTTAATCGAATCAGACAAACAAATTAAAATGGGAAGGAGGGAGTATGTTTTTTCGCATAAGAAACTCTTCAACTCCTGATATTACATTTTGTTTTAAAATTATTACATTTTATCTTCATAAGTATTATAGTTTCCCTTAGTAACAATCAATTAATTTATACCTAAGTGATACTTCAACCCCTAATCATTACATTTTAATTTAAAATTATTACATTTTTCTTCAAAAATATTACATTTTTCCTTATAAGTAACAAACAATTTATCCTTAATTGGTATTATATTTTCCATCATAAATATTACATTTCCACCATGCATGATCTTACCCTCTCACAAAAGATCCACCGCTTAATAATTTATTTGAAAAATTCCAAATTCCAACTCGTCGTAGTTACAAAAACAATAACAAAAAGGGGGGGGGGGGGGGGGGGGGGGGGTGTTAAGAGTTCTATATAAAAGTTTATTCAAAATTTTTAAAATAAATTTACAAAAACCCTACAAACGTATATCGGAGTAGAGATGAAATCAAATTTTCATGTTTATCCCTACCATTTAATAATTTTCAATAGATTTTTCATCCAAATTTATGAAAATAATTAAAATCGTCACTTCAAAAATAAATGAGAAATTAAATATAGACAATACAATATTTAAGGAACTGAGTCTATATTAGAAATATAATTCAGAGATCAAAATATGTCAATTTTTAAAATGTAATGATTCTCTAAAAAGTCAATTTTACTTTTAGTCCTCGATTATTATAGCATTTTGATATTTAATTTTACTTTTTTAATTTTATCATTATACTAGTCTTTTCTATGCGCGATGCGCAAAAAATATATGCCCAATATTTAGATTTTTAAAAATAACTAACAAATTTTTACTAATTAAAATCTAAGTGAAATAAAGTTTATTTATTATATTAATCCAATATATAATGAATTTATAATATAATGTCTTACAAATAAAAATAAAAGAAAAGATATGGTGGATGCATGTACATGGTAAAAGTAATAGAAAAGATAACGGAAGTTATAACGATAAGGGTATTTTTGTCCAAAAAATTATATAGTACAACTCTAAAAGCATAATGTACAAAATAGTTAGCATTAAAAATATGGACATAAATGAGGGATATAACTTTTATTGAGACTTATTATGTTTTTAGATATTGAATTTTCATTTCTTGCCACAACTAAACATCAGTAAATGTATTAATGTCGAGATGACAAAAGTCAATGTGTTATTAACTTATTATAAATAATATCAGAAAAATGACACTTTTTCTCTCTGAATTATAGATTTATAGCATTTTTTCCTCTTGAATTATTCAAGTGGCAGTTTTTCCCCTTAATATGTTAAATGGACATATTTATAGGGACAAAAACTATAGGTTGTGTTGACATGTTGCAATGATTGTTTTATCATCTCGATCAGTTAAGCTTGACGCCCATTCTCAAAATAATTAAATACATAAAATTGTACTGAACAAGAGTTGAACTTTTAATTTTAATGTCAAATGGCTCATGTTAACAACTAATATTATAGATTAAATGAGAAACGGTGGCATGCAAGCAATGTAAGTTTTTACTTTTAACGAAATAATGAAATAATGAAATAATGAATACTATTTAGGGAAAATGAAATATATTATTAATTTGAGTGGTTATAATAAATATGCATATTGAATACGTCCCCAAATTAAACCCCAGACCCGAAATGGGCAAACTGCTGGCATGATTAATGCATGTGTCAAGCTCACGCAAGCTCCACAACTTGAAAATGATTAATTAGGTCAGCGCAGCTAACTTGCATAAATTCTTCATTGAATTGTTCTACCATTATATTCATAGATATTTAATCTTTTAATTCCTCAAAACCAATTCTTAAAACCACATTGATAAGTTGAGCATTATACTAATGATCATGGGCATGACCAATGTGACGAAGGGAATACACAAGTTGAGGCTAGGCATCACGATCTACATCTTGATCGATCGCAACCTCAATTTGAGAACTTGGAGAGATGTCATGGCATGGAGTCGAGCGGGATGACCATCGTGAGGATTGAAGTGCAAAGTCCTCTCGTATCAAGCATCACGATTAGTGTCACAATGTGACAGCGGTTGTGAACAAGGCCTAGAAATTTTTCTATTTTGTTCGATTTAGTGTAATTCCAACTATATAAATAGACATAAACAATCATCTGTTTTTTTAAAAAAAAAAAAAACATAAACTAGTAAAAAATGTACCAAATTTAAACAAAGTTATTATAGGATTTTACGTCGGTTATTTTTCGTAACTTACATTGGTTATTAAAGTAACATAAAAAGCACCGACATAATATATCAAAACCGATGTCTATTGTGTTTTTTTTTTTTAAATAAATACATTATACATCGGTTGTAAGATACACATAATCGTTTGTCTGTATAGTTATCATGTTATGTGTATCAGCGTGTGTAGTTAACATGTTATGTACATTCAATTTATTTACAAGCCCATAAACAATTAATTACAGAAACACAAACTCTTTGGACCAAAATTTACAATGTAAGATTGAACATGGTATAACAACTGACATTGAATTCACCCACCCATCTTTGAAGTGTTAACGTAGGAAAAATTTCTACAAATGCAATCATGATAGATATTAAAATACGAGAATTCACACTGGGTTGATGGCGATGACTTAATTATATGTTTTTGCATACTTTTTCTTTTCCTCATGCGTCCACAATATATAGTCATATCAGAAATTAATTGCGTCAAAACTCAAAAAGTTTAGAAAAGTCATATCACATTTTTTTTTTTTTTTTTTTGGAAAGCAACATATCAGAAATTAATTGTGTCAAAACTCAAAAAGTTTAGAAGTCATGCCGCAAATTATGCTGTGCAACCGAATGCACCTTGCAAGGTGCATACGGTTGCAAAACGGCGCCGTTTTGGTTAAAAAAACGCGCGTCCCACTTAAAGAAGAAATCAGGTTCGATTCCCGGCAATAGCATTTTTATATATCCAGAAATTCATAACTATATAACCACAATTTCATAACTATATATCCACAATTTCATAACTATATATCCACAGTGAATGAATGAAGTAAAAATCCACAATGAATGAATGAATGAAGTAAAAATCCACAATGAATGAACTAAATATCCACAATATATGATTGAACTAAATATCCACAATGAATGAACTAAATATCCATAAATTCATAACTATATAACCACAATTTCATAACTATATATCCACAATAATGCTATTGCCGAGAGTCGAACCTGATTTTTTTTTTTTTAAGTGGGACGCGCGTTTTTAATCAAAACGACGTCGTTTTGAACCGTATGCACCATGCGCATGGTACATTCGGTTGCACAGCATAACTATTGAAGTCATGCAGTGTGGGCCGTGGGAATGACTTTCTTGCAATTCCATAACGTAAGGCCTCAGAGCTCTGAAAGTGAAGGGCCTCAAAACACCTCCAATTCAACATTCTGGTACACTGTGTAAACACAAAAAGTATTAGCTTGACAAAATTGAAGGTAGAGATATGATGATGAAAGGTTCAGTAGTAGAAGAAGAGAGTATTGTGGGTGTTGATGATGATATACTGGAGATCAAAGGCCGGCTGTGTGGCTCCCCCACATCTAAACTCCAAGTTGTGGCGCTAGTGGGGATGGGAGGCATTGGCAAAACGGCTCTTGCTAAGAAAGTATACGAAGATCCATTAGTTATGCACCACTTCTACCTGCGAGCCTGGATAACTGTATCAAGACAGCATCGAGTTGGAGAAATGCTTCTTGGTCTTCTGCGTTGTGTCTGCCTATCCAGTGACGAAATCTACAAGAAAAGTGAGCATCAGCTGGCGGAAGAATTGCGCAGAAGGCTGATAGGTCAAAGGTATCTTATTGTCATGGATGACGTGTGGAGTAGTGAGGCCTGGGATGATGTCAAAAGGTGTTTCCCGGATGACAGGAATGGGAGCCGGATTATATTGACGAGCCGGGTTATGGCAGTGGGTGTTCATGCTCAGCCAGCCAGTCCTCCACACTGCCAGAAGGTGTTTGGAAAGGCACCCTGCCCCTCAGAATTGGTGGAGATTGGGAAGAAAATTGCAGAGAGATGTGGAGGTCTACCTCTAGCAATCGTCGTGGTTGCTGGTTCTCTTGCTAAGGTAAGTAAAACAAGAAGCTCTTGGTCCAATTATGCCAAAATCGTTGGTTCAGCTGCAAATGAACAAGATAAACAGAAATGCTTAGATATACTTGCTTTGAGTTATCATTACTTGCCTTGCCATTTGAAGCCTTGCTTCCTCTATATGGGAGCTTTTCCAGAAGATTATGAGATTCCTGCTTGGACACTAATCAGGCTATGGATTGCTGAGGGGTTTTTGCCCGAAACAAAGCTGAAGAGCCCTGAGGAAGTGGCAGAACACTGGTTGGAGGATCTTGTCAGTAGAAGCCTTGTTATGGTTGCAAAGAGGAGATCCGACGGTGGAGTTAATACATGTGTCATTCATGATCTTCTGCGCGAACTGAGTTTGCAAGAAGGCGAAAAGGAGAACTTTATGCATGTTAAGAAAGAGCATGCCACCATATATAGCGCAGATGCTTATAATGAGCAACGTTTCAGTTTCCCTTCTGGTGTAGAAATCATTGACACAAAAACTAACATTATTTGCCTTAACCATTCTGCTCCCCTCACCCGTTCTTTTCTCTGTTTTGCTACAATTAGCACGCCCCCATCAGAGACTATTTTCCTTGTTTCAGCTTTCAGATTGCTGAGGGTATTGCATTTAGTAGGACACACATTTGTTCATTTCCCAGTAGAGACAACGCAGCTGGTTCATTTGAAGTATCTAGCACTCGGGTTTTACCATCCTGATTTCCCCGTTTCGGTGTCCAAACTTGTGAATCTACAAACCTTAGTGATTGAAACATCAGAAATCTTGAACTTGCCAAGACAAGTGTGGGAAATGGAACAGTTGAGGCATCTGCATTTTAGGAATAGCAGTTTCTGGCCTAATCCTAGTCCTATAACCACCAGCAGTGCGGGCTCAAGGAGTAGCAACCTTTTGTGGAATCTACAAACACTTTCCTTGATAGGCTTCAACAGCTGCACAAGAGAAGTTTTGTTTAGTATCTCCAATCTGACGAAATTGGGCATTGCAGGACGGTGGCCAGAAGTGGAAAATGGGGAATTACAAGAGCGATGGACTACACAGCAGCAGTTACACAATCGCCTCAACGATCTCGTCTACTTGAAACTACTAGGAACACTAAAGTTGTACAGAGTCTTGGAACAGCATATTCCCCGGTGGGATGTTTTCCCACCAAACCTTAAAAAGCTGAGCATCACAATGTGCTATTTGTCGCCCAAATCTGTGACCACATTCTCTATGTTACCCAACCTGGAGATTCTGAAAATGAAAGATGTGAATTTCGAAAGATATGCTTTCGAACTGAGTGAACAAGAGTTCAAAACACTCAAGTTTCTGCAGATTCAGTCTTCCACCCTTAAGCTCTGGGAAGTAGCTAACAGTTATCATTTCCCAAAACTTGAACGCCTAGTTCTGAAGCATTGCTTCAGCCTGAAGGAGATTCCTAATGAGATTGGGGATATCCCATCACTTGAATTCATTGAGTTGCACCATTCTCCTGCAGTTGAACACTGCGCAAGAAAGATTGAAGATGAGCAGAGGGATTTGGGAAATGACAGCTTCAAAGTTTATATCAACCGTAGTACTGTTATCTCCTAGCTACAATAATGCTATGAAATTTAGTGCTAAGATGGCAGTCATTCTGCAATTTTTTCATGGTTGTATACGCTATATATAGAATCCAAAGATTTTCAATATACTTGTAACTTTGTGAACAAAAAATAATACTCCGTACTTATTATTTGCAATTTACATTTATCTATGATTAAGTAAAAATAATTTAGTTCTTTTTAAATAAGATCTTACATTCAAATTTTGTGTAAAAAAAAAAATGTTAATATCCTGCCATTTTGTATCCCTATCAATAAAACATTGTGGCATGGACAGCTATGGCTGATTTCTTCCTCTTCATCTCCAAATTTGAAGATAAAGGAGACCATGATCTAGGTTTCCTTCGTCTCCATTAAGGAGGACCCAAAGAATTCTTCAAAGATATATAGGCAAGTTTGAAAACTATATTATCATGTATTTCAGTAAACTCTTTTGTCAAAACTTCGAAGCTGCTTTCCAATCCACTTTAGCAGCCTGCAATAATAGAAAAAAACTATACTACATTGCTTTAGCTAATCAACCCTTACTTCTCAGATTCACTAGAAAATGCCTCATCTAAAGTGCCGAAAAGTTCATATTTGGTTTAGTGAGCAACTGAAACAGAGAATCCCCGATGTGCTTATTTAGTTGAGAGAGAAATTAAAAAAAAAAAAAAAAAAAAAAAAAAAAAAAAAAAAAAAAAAAAAAAAAAAAAAAAACGTATATCTGTTAATATATATATACACACACACACACAGGAGGCGATGGAATAACCTGAGTAGGCTTGAAACGGAAAGGAGCTCCGTTGGCGTTCCGATGCGAACGGCGCATAAGCATTCCGGTGAGGGAAGACGGAATATCGCCGATCATCAATCTATTTGAATTAGTGTTTGAAGCACTCACTTCATCTTTACTTTGTTTGCTTGTATGAGTTTATCTATAATTATTAAGGGTGTGTTTGGTTCACTGGTTCAAAGTTATTGTTATTATTTGATTGATATGCTTAACACTATTATGAAATTTAATTATCTTATTAATTAGAAAACGTATTCTTTGATAAAATAAGAGTTTCATCCCATTATTCTCCTTCCTCATTGGTAATTTGATTTCTAAGTTTGAAATAATACTTTTAAATTTTTGTTTTTTTATTTATATTGATATTTTGAATACCTTTATATTAGAAAAAATTGTCTTGATTTTTTGTTTTTGTATTTTTAAATCTTTATTCTTATTATAGGATCATGCATAACCAAATAGCAATATTAGTAATCATTCAAATTCCACCATACTACCAAAATACAAAATATTTTCACCAAATTCATTACCATTGACAAACATTTGATTCACATTTCGATTCTGATTCTCATATGCGAATCAAACACACCCAAAGTAATAAGATCTTACATCTAAATCTTGTGAAAAAGAAAACTCTTTTACTATGTCAAAAGTTATAACTCGACAGTGCGTAAAAAGGATTGAAGATGAGCCGAGGGATTTGGGAAATGATAGCTTCACCGGTGACATGATTCTTTTTGTGAGCTCTGCAGTTTGACTGCAATGTTCACCAATCACCAGGTTAGTAATGCTAATGATGCTGCAACTATGATTTAGGATGAAGAACAAACAGAACTTTACACAACTGATTAGATGAAGCAAAGGCAGCAGAAATTTCAGTATCAGATAGATCTTCTAGGCATAAACACAATATGAATCTTGAAGATTAGATTGAACACAGTACAGATTTCACATCACTTTCCAAGAGGTTGTCTGCATTAAGAATTGGATTTATCTCTGTAATCAGATTCATGGATTGAACTAAATAAGAAGAATTCCCCACCCTCCTGCTCCTTACTTCCTCTTCCTTTGCTTTTCAGTTGAGGGCTGCGAAACCGGCAAAAAGTTAATCAATCCAAGTGGCAGTAAAGCAGCAAGAAACTGGATTATAATCCCGGCAGGCAGTCTCGAGTAATCCCCAGGCGTTATCCCGAGGAAAGACGCCAACCCAACGCCTAAATACCCACTAGTTATTGATGACAAGTAGAAAGCTGATGCCAAGAACGACATGAGAGATCCTTCGCAGCCCGATGGCACTGAACTTGCAAAAAGAACAGAGAATGGCAAAAGCTTAAACGATGCAATAATCTCTGCAATACCCGAAAAACATGACACAAAAGCCTCGTTCGAAATCCCCAGTTTGAGGTTGATCTGCTTTACCAGCACGAAATCAAGAAGAAGAGAAGCAGCATAGAGAATCTGAATAATGCCACCCAGTTTTCTCATTGTGAGTTCTTTCCCAATCCTATCATAGAGGACAGTAATAGAAAGCAGCATCAACTGGCCAGTCACTTTCGACATCCCAATAATCGACGGGTTGAGATTGAGAAACTGTGTTTGATAAGAGAAGACCGAACCAGATAAAACTGGGACAGCCAAAATGGACGCCACAAACCATAAAAGCGGACAATAGATCCTTTTCTCTCCAATGGAAACCATGAGGTTAAAATACTGTGTTTTTACACTTTCCAGGATTGATTTCCTAACAGCAGCATAATTTGACGGTTTAGGCAAACCAAGCGATTTTTCCCTTATTGCCAAAGACAATACTAATTGGAGGGAAAGTATTGAAGCGAATGCCAGAAACATAGAATTGGGTTTCTTTGTTTTCTGTAAGATAAATCCTCCTAGTAAGTTAGCAAAAATCCCACCAGCAGCAGAAGCCATAAGTGCATAAGATTGAAGACCAGGCAATCTATTTTTCTGGCCATATTCTGCCAATAAGGCATCCTCGGCAACTTCTGTAATGGAAGCTCCGAGGTTGCTTAAAAGAACACACGCCATAAGAGATGGAAACGCTTTACTTGCAGCCGAAATTAGTGCTAGTTGACCCCAAGCCAAAGCCTGGAGGAAAACTGAGGTAATGAATGTCAGAATTTGAGTGAACCTTAAAATCAATTTGCATAAACCTTAGATGAACCTTAATAACAAGAGACAAGGAAGCTTTGTCAAATTTCAATCTGCATAAACCATTTTTGAGTGACAAGTGAAGCCTGTAGCCACTACCCAAAGGTGGGCACTGGGTCTGGGTAAACCCCGCCTTGTGGTCCTAGCCGGCAAAGGACCCAGTCTAGGTTGAACCAAGAAGGCTAATAAGCCGCTCAAGCTAAAACTTGCAGCTAACTTACTTGAAGACCCTTTGAGGGAAATGTTTTTTGTGCATTGAAATTACAATCATTAATTACAAACACCAAAATAAACCATTTTTGAGTGACGTGAGAAACCCACAGCGACTACCCGAGGGTGTGCACTGGGTAAACCCCGCCTTGTGGCCCTAGCTAAACCAGCCTAAGTTACTCATAACTGATTAGCTCAAACCAAGACGACCAATAGGCGGCTCAAGCTAAAACTTGCAGCTAACTTACTTGAAGACCCTTTCAGGGGAATGTTTTTGTGCATTGAAATTACAAGCGCCAAAATAAAGTCACCATTTTATGAAACTCAGCCAAACTAATGTCATTAAACAAACATACACAACTATTGAATATCCAAAATTTAATTGCTAGCTAACAAGAAAACTGCAAACCAAGCAAATGTTGATGATCTACAATGCAATGCAAGAGGGAATTGAAGTTAATGTACCTCCTATTGAAATATAAGGCAACCTGTGAGCAGCCCCAATATAAAGAGCATCAGACAAGATTCCATAGAGAGGCTTGGCAATAAAAGGGAGGTTAGCAGAGTTCTGCACAAACTGCAATGTAGAAGGATTCATATTCATTCCATGAGCCATGTGGAAGTTCAAAGCAAGCCATGGAAAAAACTTGAACCCTTGAACCCAATACCCAAATCCACACAGAACCATCATCTCTAGTCTACCATGCCTCTCTTCATTTCCCCTGGCCTCATTTGGAAGAGGAGAAACCTCGTCCTCTGGGCCTGTAATGGACTTAAACTTGAACCTCCAGTTCTTGGGGAATGGGTTATCTTTCTGGGAGCAAGAAATGGACATGAAATGAAACAAAGATTGAATCTTTTCTGTCTTTCGGACTCTTGGATTTCTTGTGAATAAAGGGTTTCCACTCTTTCCATTATAAACCAATGCAGAAATCATGGTTTCTGGGCATTCATTCGGGTAACTTTCTGAATTCAGAGCAAGAATCAATTTAGAATGACCCTTTGAGTGAGATCAAGAGAATTACGCAATTCAACAAAAAATTTAAACATTCACACGCACAATCATATACGCTTAAAGAAAGATAGGAATTCCATTTTTCCAGGCTGATAACAAGACATAAGCTTTTGTATTAGGGATCCTCTGCGGGTCACTTTCTTGGGAGATTCATTGCTGATTGATAAACAATTCTATAGGGAGGTTGTCAAAATGCTCAAAGATTTAAACGAAAACTTCTGAAGTGCTCAACGTTTAAACCAAGACTCATGAAGCACGAAATTTGTTCTTGCAATGAATCGCTGTAGATTCAATATTTATATTAAGGAATTATTTGTGAGCTTTTAATGTGATTTTAACTTTTGTTAATAATTGATTATGTATTCCATAAAATTTGGATATACAAGGATCAAAATCTTTCAACAATTTTTTTCAAATGTAACATATTTATATTTAATTATTAAATAAATTATTCTTTAATAAAATAGAGTCGGTCAATTAATAGTAACCAAAAAAAAAAAAAAAACAGAATAAATAAAATCTTGAACTGAGATAACAATTAAATTATTAATCCGTAAATTGTATAAAGGTTTAATAATGCCTAAACTCAATAAAATGATTCATTTTGTTATAAATATTTCATTCAGTATGAACATTATTGTTGATTTGTAACATCAGTAACAATTATGTCATCTATATACATATAAAGGCCATAGGATTTTGGCCAATCAAATCCTTCCATTTTCCCGCCTAACTTACACGACACCGTTTAGGTTTTTTTTTTTTTTTTTTTTTTTTCAAATCCATTCAATTTCCCGCTTATTTGAATTTTAATTTACTGATTTGGTATTGTCGTATGATTTTAGGCCTGCTGTTTAGGGGTGTGGGCTATTGTAGAGTTAGTATTCTAATTGGTTTCTAGATAGGAAACGTGTGATTTAAGTCTAATGGGTATGGGAGTGATCTAAACTGCAGTGCGTAGGTAATATTTTAATATATATGCAATTGTATGACTCTAAGTTTGCTGGTTATATATAGCTCCACATCCAGGCCTCAAAGCAAAGCAAAATATTACAACTTTCTTTTATCTGTGCTAACACAAAACTTTCTTTTATCTGTGCTAACACAAAACGAAGCAAAATATTACAACTTTCAGCTTTCAAAAACCAACATGACTGGGCAGTTCATAGTTGGTGCCCAGCTTCACCCGCAGCAGACTTCTAAGGCCATTAGATTGCGTTGTGTGCGGAGCTATGTTGTCACTGAAAACAGAGGACAAAAACAAATTAGAAGTCAAGAGTGTGTGTTTCATGATCAAGAGGTGTGTTATTCCTAGATTACTATCTTCTGATTTTATTGTTTATTGCTAACTGTTTATAAGTACTTATGATATTCTCTTTGTGTCTTGAATATAGGGTATTTTTATTCATGTTCACATACCTAAGGATATTGTTGCAACATACCAGAATATGTTCAAGGAGGGCAAAGTCTATGGTATTTGAAATTTCCTATGTATCACTAACTTTTTCAAGTATAAAACAAGCACACATCGTTATATGATCAAATCCAAGCACGACACTATTGTGAAGCAATATCAGCGTGTGAATTTCCCTAAAACAATGTTCCGGTTTAAGAGTTTCCCGGACGTACTTTCAAAGAAGAATGTTGATGAGAAAGTGTTGATAGGTAAGTGTTTAACTGGATGCATACATATATAATACTCAAATGAAGGAATGCTACTTTGATTATGTTTTCAACCATAGCCATCAAAACTAATATTCTACTGTTATTTTATGTAGATGTGATTGGCCGAGTTGTTGAAATTTATACACGTACTAGACAAAGTGATAGCTGGAAAACAAACAAGGCTTATTGACATTGTTCTTGAAGACAATGGGTAATTTTTAGGCTTGGCTATGCTGATGTAAATCTTATTATTAATTTTCGTTGGGTATTTAAATTGGTTTCTGTTTTCATGCAGTAAAAATCATATTAAGTGTACATTATGGGATGAGCATGTGGATCAACTAACTCCTTATTTCCACATTGCTGCATCTGATCCAGTCATACTTCTCATTCAGCTTTGTACGGCCAAGTTTATGGACAGTAAGTTCTAATCCAGGATGGGTGTGCTTTCTATTTCAAATAATATCCTATCTCCTAATGAGCAAATTTTTTTCTGGTTAGATTGTGAGATTCGTATTTGCAGCTCCTTTGATGCTACCCAACTATTTTTTACTCATTCGTCTAAGGAGTTCCGTGACTTCAAGAATAGGTGTGTTTCTATTTTATGGTGTTTGTTCAACTTTTTAAATCAAAATGGACGTGAAAGTATTTACTTTTTTTTATTTTTATTTTTAATAGCTTTACAGGTGACTACACCCCTTTGAGGTGTATAGAATCTGGGTCTAGGCTTGATGGTGGTTTCCCTACTAATGGCCTGCATCCTAATGATATTTTGGTTACTCCTATTGAAGATATTTACTTGAAAAAACAGGTTAATATGCTACAATGTTTGATAATTATTTCTGTTTGTCTACTAATTTCTTTGTGTGTTTTCTATATACTTATAAATTCTAAGCATAAAAGAGATGACCTAGATTTTTTTTTTTTTTGTGCACCAGTTGGGGGAGTATTGGGTTGCAGGCAGAATTGTTGGCGTAGAGAGTATAAATGATTGGTATTTCATTTCTTGGAAGACTAATTCTTGCAAGAAGAAGCTTGCTGAACAAGGTGGCATGATGTACTGTGGTGGGTGTAAGAATTCTTGGCATGAAGGAATTGTGAGGTATAGGTTGATTTTCCGTGTGGCAGACCACACTGGAGATGCTCCTATGCTTATATGGGATCGTGAATGTGCAGATTTGGTTGGTATGTCAGCGGCTGAGTTAAAGGCTAAGTACCCTGAGGTATACTATACTATTTCACTTCTTTATTGGGTGTTTAGCGGTTGGTTTTTGATGTCTTATCTGTTCTCCAATATTTCTAGGGAAATAATCGTATTCCACCTGAACTTGGTCGCTTGCGTGGGATGTCTATGGTTTTCCGTATTGTTATGAAGAAGGAACAGGTGGACAGCTACTATTCTGCCTTTACGGTTCTAAGGATTTGCAGGGATGAGTCATTAGTTACACAACACTGCTCAGGTTTTCTAGGTGCCCCTTCTGCTGAAATGGTTCCAAGTCATGTCGGAGGTTCTTTGGATGATGGATGTAACTCTGAGGTATACTTATTATTCTATTTTTGGGTCTATAAGTGGTTCTAAGTGGGTTATTGATTGGTCAGAACTATTTTTATGCAGCAACAGATTGGCAGTGATGAAGAGGAGTTTTTTAGAGTGGAGGATGTCTCTGATGGTGTGGAAGATGATATCATTGTTGGTTTGGATGACATTTCTGAGGATTTAGGGGATGAGCATGTTGCTGATGCTGTTAAGGGATCTATGGTCAAAGATTTGGTTACTACTGGTGGTTCTAACAAAACTAAGGATAAGTGTGTTGTTGATTTGGAAAGTGAACATGTGGGTGTTCCTCTTAAGAGATCTCTGCTGAAAGAGTTTGGCATGTCTGGTAGCATAAAGAAGGCTAAGGAGGTGGTGGTGAAGCAGGAAAAGTAATGGAAATTTCTTTATTTAGAAATAGGTTGTACTAATACTAAGCTGGTATGTGGGTTTTGTGTGCTAAATTCTACCAAACTGATGGTTATGCCTAGAAAACTGCAGCTTTTTGCAATGTACTGTTAGCCATTGGACTGTGTGTAGTGTGTTTTTGCCTATGGGTTTGTTTTTTGAACACTGCAAGTGTTTCAGTGTACTGGTAAGCAGTACAATGTATGTAGTGTGTGTTTTGGAAGGCAATGTGTGTAAAACTGCATATGTTGCAACTGCTAATCTATTTTAAATGTAAGACTGAGTTCTCTAATTGCAAACCAGCCACTCTAATGGGTTTTGGTTCTTATTCTATCCAAGTATAAGTATATATTGCTTACCCAAATATTGCAAATAAACCAATTATTAATCAAAGTATAATATAGAAATCCACATCAAAAAAAAAAAAAAAATAGTTAGAGCATATTATAGCAACAAATTAAATCATATTAATCTATAATTTCACAAAGTCTATTATAGCAAGCCCAAAAAAATTGCAGCATACTGATAGTTTCCTGGTAAATGAGATAAAAAAAAAGGGGGGGGAGGGGGGGGGGGTGGAATTACAAAAGATATAGCAAATTAGGAGTCTGATTTTTGAGTAAAAGCATATCACTTGCATATCTATTGCAAAGAAATATATTATTCCTTAAGTGAAATAATAGGAACCCATTCAAAAAAAAAAAAAAAAAAAAAAAATCAAAAGATTAACATTTGAGAAATGACAAAGAAATTGATAGTGGCCATGGTAAATCATATACAAAAAAGGCCAAAAAAAAAGTTTAATAGATTAGCAGGCTGATCATTAAAGAAAAAGATCTCCAATGCACATGTATTCCAGATAAATATGTTATTTTACAAATTCAATTATAGCAACAACTAAAAAAAAGGAGGCATCACTTGCCTTTGATTTTAGATTGTTAGTATTTGTTCATATATATGTATAGAAAGTATTTAAATTACTTATCTATTCCAAATTAACCTATTATTAAACAAACTTTAATATACCAAAAAAAAAAAAAAAACAATTATATCATATATTAGCAGGCTCAAATTTGAGGTAAAGGACTTGCATATGTATTGCAAATAAATTTATTATTTCACAAACATCATGTAGGAACAAATTTTTTTTTTTTATATGAGTGGCAGCATACTGAGAATTGAGAAATGACAAACAAATTCAGACAGGCCGTGGTAAATCATTTTAAAAAAAAGAAAAAAAAAAAGGCAAAGCAGATTAGCAGGTTGGTTTTTGAAAAAAAAGGATATCAGTTGCATATATATTGCAAATAATTAT